ACATTTTCAAAATTTTGATCATTAGGAAAAAATAAATTAACGATTTTATTTATTATGAACAATTGTTTATTATCATTAGATAATAACAGTTTGATTATTATTATTATTAAAATAATTGTTTATAAGCTTCGAAAGTTGTTTGGATGCTATTAAAATAATTTACTAATTGTTTTTAAAGAAATTTTTTATGAGATACAAAAGAAAAAGATAATATTGATGTTAAAATACATAACTTGAAACAATTGTTTATAATTATGTATTTTATATTTATTGTGAATTATTATTAGTTGGTATTAGCAATAACTATTATATAATATAATAGAAAAATACATAAGTACACTTAATAGGATGTGTTAATGTGATTAGTAAAAAAATATTAATGATAAATTTTGTAACTGAAAATAGAGGAAAAATTTTAGAGGTTTTATTAAGTAGGTAAAAAAATACATAAGTACACTTAATAGGATGTGTTAATATGCTAAGTAAAAAAATATTAATGATAAATTTTGTAACTGAAAATAGAGGGAAAATTTTAGAGGTTTTATTAAGTAGGTAAAATTAAATGCTAAGCTAGCAATTATATATATATATATTATTATTAAAAAACAATTGTTTATAAGATTCTAAAGTTGTTTAACTATGCTATTAAAATAATTTGCTAATTGTTTTTAAAGAATTTTTTTTTTAGATACGAAATAAAAAGATAATATTGATGTTAAAATACATAACTTGAAACAATTGTTTGTAATTATGTAATTTATATTTATTGTAAATTATTATTAGTTGGTATTAGCAATAACTATAGAAACATATATGATTACACTCATTAAGATGTACTAATGTGGGAAGTAAAAAAATTAATGACAAATTTTGTAACCGAAAATGGAGAAAATTTTTTAGAGGTTTTATTAAATGCTACATGCCAGCAATTATATATATATATATATATAGATAGATAATCTAGGTTCGGGTATTCCATAAATATTATTTAGCTAATTTAGGTATTTTAATATCACTTTTACTAATATATCCCTGATTTTGATTTGCTTCCTTCAATAAGCTATTGAATTATAAATGTATTTTAAAAGTTGATAACTTTCGTATTTCTTATCGATTTTACATATATAATATATCAAATTAATCATATTTTGATGATCTTCGATTTGACATCCATATTGTATATATGAAATAAATAAATATCTTTTTATAATAGTAAAAAATAATAATATTTATCAAAATTCATTAGAAAAATAAAATTATTTCTCAATTGATATATTTATATTTAATGTAGTTATATGTTGTAAGTTAAAAAATTAGTATAATATAACACAAGTAAGTC